AGGTTAGAAAGTGTAGTATTAGTTAGTGTAAATATTTGAATCTCTAGGTCTGTTAGGGTATTGATTTTGTTTAGTTTAGTATTAATGTCATTCTGATTGTGTTTATTTGCAGTAGTAAGTGAGTGTAAAATACTGCTGATAAGTTGTAGATCTGTATAAAGTTTAGTAGCAAGAAGGGAGTAAGTATAGTATTTTCTATTCATAGAGGTAGAGCTGGGTATATATTTGTTAGCAGTATCAGTAATTAGAGTAGTTATTTTATGCCAAATTTGGTTAATATTGAGTGTTAGCAAGTTATTAAATATATTTGAGGAGCTGATGTTTTGTTCTATATGTGTTGAGAAGTTGTTCTAGCTTTCTTAGTTCATTGATATATAGTAATAGGTTTTCTTTTTTGAGTAATATTTAGTTTTAGATAAGTAGTTAAAAGGATTAAGTAACTATTCAGTATAGATTATACAGTGGTCGCTGTCTATTATCATTGTGGTCAGAGTTAGAATTAGTTGGCTGAAAGTGTGTACTATCTGTTGTAGTACCCAAATTTCATCAATTTGGCTTTGTGAGTATAAGCGAGTCCAGGTAGGTGTATTTGAGTAGTAAGTATTAATTAGAGGAACTAAATTAATAGCTTCAAAGTAGTATAGTAGTTAGGTTTAGGTGTCTTGTGCTTGATAATATCATAGTTAAAGTCTCCTAGTATCATTTGGTGAATTTTGTTTTTTGCTGCTTCTTTGATCCAAAGGATGACTTTCTGTTGTGTCTGTTTGTTTATAGAGGGATTATTAGATGTTAAATATGTGGATATTATTCTGAGCTTGTTGTTAGAAAAGAAAAAGTTAATAACGAGAGCTACCTCAGGGAGAGTTTGAATATTGTTAATATAGAGTCTGAGTTTATGGTATATACTGATAGCAGTTCCAGCTGATGATGTATTGTTACAAGCAAGGAAGGTATGGTAGTATTGGTTTAACAGGATGTAGCTATTCTAAGATAATTCCATTAGTTTAGTTTCTGTAATACAAATAATATCTGCATTTTCTTAATTGCAATATTCAAACCATTGCTATTGTTTTATATACTCATTGAATTCTTGGATATTATGTGTTAGAATTTTGAGTAAGCTTTGTAATAGGTTAGTAGTAGAGTTTGAAATATTTGTAGATAGTATAGTATTAGGAGTATGGTTTAAGTTGTTTAAAGAGTTATACTTAGCTATAGGCTTTGTATTAAAGATTTCAAAAGATGGTATTAGATATGTTGTTTTTGTATCAGATTTTTGGTTTGCTGCTTATCAGGTATAAATAGAATATCCCAGGTAAAAGGTGGGAGAGAAGGTAGTTTTAATAAATATTGTTGACCTATGAAATATTAAAAAAAAATACAAAATTCTTCATAACTTTTAATCTACTAGTCCAATTTGGATGAAACATATACTATTGGAATCAGCTTACTGAGGCAGATCTAAAGAGCCAAGAATCATTAAAGTTCAATTACTGGATCCTGAAATAATGAAGTTCTGGCCTTTTTATAATAATCATATAATCTGATTAGCTGATAATTACTGCACAAGATTCGTTATATGTACTATATCTATTACCTCTGGTTTTTGAGACACTTATATTATTTATCATATATATATCACATATCATATTTATTATATATTTCATACATGTATTAGTTATATTATATATTTTATTAGTGATAGTTGTAGCATATATAGCTCCTATAATATATATAGTCTGTTACATTTCTAATTTTTTGTAAAGTATAAAAGCAGTACATGTAGACCTTAATTTCATTATTGAGTCTTCACACTCTTTCACAATAAAAGTACTTTTCTGATACTTTAAAATAAACATTTATTGATATCTTCATATATCTTTAATTGTTGCCTCTTTCATAATTGCAAATTACTCTAAATCTTTTTTGTTAAGTTTTATAAAAATGCTCTAAAGACTTTGACAAAAAACAGTAACAAAGGATGTTATGCAAAGTATTCACTATTATTAGTCTCTCTAGTTAGTTGGTCTTACAAAAGAAATCAAACTAATCTAACAAATTGGTGGTGACTGTGAGATACTTTCTCAAACTCTGCAAATATTAAAGAAAAACCTAAGGATAAGTTTAATTATAAAAAACATAGTTGTTACTAAGACAAGTCTATCGATTTTTATCCAATTGAGCTGAAATTTTGAAGATATACCCAGAAAATAATTCTGCAAATTTTCTACTAAGCTTATCTTAGAGCAAAAACCTTTTCAAACCTCTCAAAAAGACCTTCTGGAACTCTCTCTTCAAGGAATAACAGGAAGAATTCTTAAATTAAAAGCCTAGAAGAAGTTTTAATATTCCCAAAACAATCATTAAAAGATATGCATTATGAATTAAAATATTTATTTTATTAAGCATTAAATAATATTTACTAATAAAACATTTTGTTTATTTTTTAGTTCTATTTACTTCACTAACACCTATTTATAATGTAATATTTTATCTACAATTAATTCACTGATATAAATTTTTTTACAGATAATCAATTCTTAGACAAGCTTATTTTATAAACAATTTATTTCACTAATAGCTCATTTCATTGATAATATTATTATTAGAATCAGAGTTAAAGTTTAGGATTAGGGTTAGAGGAATCTATAAAAAATAAACTTGCTGATGAAATAGACTATTGGTAAAATAAGTTGTTAATGAAATGAACTTGTCTAGAAATTGATTGTCTGTGAAAAATATATATCAGAGAATTAATTGTAGATAAAATATTATATCTATAAAATAGGTGTTACTAAAATGATATATATTTTTTATTTTTTTTACATCAAATTTAGTATTATTTTTGGTTAAATCATAATTTGTTTATCATATTTTAAAATTTCTTATAAAATTATATTATAGATAAAAATATTATTCCTTATGAATTGTCAGTACTGTTTTTTATAGGACTGAAAAAAAATCAAAATATATATCTTTCTTGATAGTATTCTTAAAAAGAATCCAAAACTAATTTTTCACAAGTCACTTAGTTGTAATAAAGATGTCAAAGTTTTAATTCTCAATTAATTAATTCTAATATAAATTAATAATTTATCTTAATATTGATCTTTATGATAAAGAAATAAAGATATATTTAAATTTTCTGCAAAAAGTTTTCTTATTATTGAAATATATTTAATCAGAATAGTAGTATTTTTGCATATTATAGAATTTATATAATCTATATGTTATTTTTTATAATTGCAAATTTGGTATTTATTTACATTTTGAAATTATATTTATTTTATTTAATAATTATAATACTAGCTAATTTTTTTTTCATATTTTATGATATAAAAAAAAAGAAACACAAAAAAAAAAAAAGAAAAAGAAAACAGTAAACTCAAAATAATATTGTTAAAAACATCTAATAATATTTAAATTTCTTTAGATGTTTAGTCTTTTTTTGTACTTCTTAATGCTAATTTTAATTTGGTAGCTCTTGAGTTATTTTTTTTTTTCTGAGATATTTTCAAAACAATGTTGAATATATAACATGAATAGTAGAAAGTACTTGTAAGCGAAGTATTTAAATAACTTCAACTAAAATAATTTTTTGGAGATTATGATTTTTTATGTTCATTATAACAGGAGCATAGTTATTTTTTTTTATATATTATGAACAAAAGAATTTTTTTTTAATATCATAATTATATAATAATTAATATCAGTTTTATTTATATAACTTTTTTTTTATTGATTGTTTTTTAGCTTTAAAAATATAATTCCTTATTAATTAATTTCTTGTTTTTTATGCTTTTGGTTTTAGGTTCTGACTTTTTTACATATTAAAGTTGACATAGTTATTAAAAGGTACACATTATGGATTGAAATATTTATTTTATTAAGCATTAAATGATATTTACTAACAAAACATTTTGTTTATTTTTTAGTTCTATTTACTTTACTAACATCTATTTATAATGTAACATTTTACCTACAATTAATTCACAGATATAAATTTTTTTACAGATAATCAATTCTTAGACAAGCTCATTTTATAGACAATTCATTTCACTAATAGCTCATTTCATTGATAATATTATTATTAGAATCAAGGTTTAAGTTTAGGATTAGGGTTAAAAGAATCTATAAAAAATAAACTTGCTGATGAAATAAGCTGTTGGCAAAATGAGTTGTTTATAAAATGAACTTGTCTAGAAATTGATTGTCTGTGAAAAATATATATCAGAGAATTAATTGTAGGTAAAATATTATATCTACAAAATGAGTATTACTAAAATGATATGTATTCTTTATTTTTTTTATATCAAATTCAGTATTATTTTTGGTTAAATAATAATTTGTTTATCACATTTTAAAATTTCTTATAAAATTATATTATAGATAAAAATATTATTCCTTATGAATTGTCAGTACTGTTTTTTATAAGACTGAAAAAAACTCAAAATATATGTCTTTCTTAATAGGATTCTTAAAAAAAACCTAAAACTAATTTTTCACAAGTCACTTAGTTGTAATAAGGATATCAAAGTTTTGATTCTCAATTAATTAATTTTAATATAAATTAATAATTTATCTTAATATTGATCTTTATGATAAAGAAATAAAGATATATTTAAATTTTTTGCAAAAAGTTTTCTTATTATTGAAATATATTTAGTCAGAACAGTAGTATTTTTGCATTTCATAGAATTTACAAAATCTATTTGTCATTTTTTATAATTGCAAATTTTGGTGTTTATTTACATTTTGAAATTACATTTATTTTACTTAATAATTATAATACTAGCTAATTTTTTTTCATATTTTATGATATAAAAAAAAAAGAAACACAAAAAAAAAAAAAGAAAAAGAAAACAGTAAACTCAAAATAACATTGTTAAAAATATCTAATAATATTTAAGTTTCTTCAGATGTTTAATTTTTTTTTGTACTTCTTAATGCTGATTTTAATTTGGTAGCTCTTGAGTCATTGTTTTTTTCCGAGATATTTTTCAAGATTTGTTTGATTCTGAATTAATATTTTCAATTTCAATTTGAGTTTTATCAGTGTTAATATTTGTAACAAAAAGGTTATCCTCAAATTGGTCTGATTTTTTATTTTGATTGATTTTAATTATTTTTTTCTGTTTCTTTTTCTCAAATGATTTTTTGTTCTGATATTGATTTTCAAAATTTAGCAAATCTTGATTTTGCTTTTTTTTGTTGTTATTAATTTCTTCTTGTTTATTAGTCATATTTTCAGAGTATGCATAATTCTATTCGATATCAGATGTTAGGATTTGCATCATATTATTTCTTTTATATAATATACTACAAACAGATATAACTTCTTTTAATTCTAATACTCTTGCAACTTCAGAATATTTGAAATTCTTAGCATTATAAGAATATGCAACTTCCAAAATCAAATAGTTCAAGGTTAAAGAATTATAACCTTTATGTTCTAATGTAAAATAAGAGAGTCTACTTTTATTAATATCCAAAAATTTACATAGTGCTGAGTAATTTCCAAATGGTGAACACATCAGAAAGTCATATATCAATAGATTACTTTCAATTGTTTTAACTCTAGAGATATTGCTTGAAGGACAGTAACCTTTTTTATTTTATTTTTTTTTTTAGTTTGAGTAATTCCTTTTATTTTTGTCATTTATTAAATAATAAAGAATTTTTTTTTTTAAAAAAAAAAAAGATAAAAGAAAAAGTAAACTCATGTTCAGTTCTGAATTTTCTAAAATAAACCTGCTAATAATCAGCATAATTGTGTTTTTTTTCAATTCTATTAATCATATGTTTGTTTTCTGCTAAAGTAAATGCCTTATATTTATAATGTACAAATTCATTGTATTTACTTCTAAGCGTAGCAATTCCAGTTAATGAAGAACTACTATTTACAGTTTAAATAAACAAAATAGCAGCAAAAACTGATAACATTTTTTATTTTTTTTTATGAAGTAAACTTTAATATCAGAACAAAGTTAGCATTGTATTATATACTTATCAATATTTATTTATTGTTATTATATTTTTTTTTAATAGTTATTTTAATAGTTTAATATTGTTATTATATTTTTTTTTAATAGTTATTTTAATAATTTAATAGTTATTAATAGTTAAAAATAACAAATAATCATTTTTTGGCTTTCCCAGAATTTATCTTGTTTTTTTTTCTTTTTATTTTTACTTTTCATCATATATTCTTTTCTTACTCATTATTTTGCTTTTTAAATTCATACATTCATATATATTTTTTTCTATTATTCTTTCAACTTTCCTTTATTTACTTTCATATTATACATTCTAATAGTGATAGGTTTTTTTTATGATTCTGTTTTTAAAATTTCATATATTCACATACATTTTTATTTATTTTTTTTTATTTTTTACAAATTGTTTTTTTTTAGTTTATATCGCTACAAATTATATGTGAGAAAATAATAAATTTGTCTATAAAATGTTTAAAAAATCACGATAAATAATTATCAAATATTTATACTATATTAAAAAATTTTCCCAACGCATATTTTTTTTTTATATTATACTTATATTATACTGTATCAATATTCTAATCAATAATAAACCTGTTTAGTATTATGTATTATATTATTAGTAATACTGATTTACAAATAATATTAAATATTAATAAATATTTTCTTAATCTTAAATAGTAAACTGATCATTCTCATTCTTGTTATATTGTTATTTCATTTTCTTTTTAAATAGTTAACTGATCATTTTTCTCCTAAACTGTAATTGTAACCTGAATCACATATTCATTTTAGTCTTTTGTGAATTTGCTCTGTATGTAATACAAACATATCAGATTCAAATTCTCAGAGTTACATCATCTTATTTTCATTGTGATTCTTTATTTTAGTCTTTGATGATCAATGATTATTATTTAATCAGCCTATAAAAAAATCAGAGAAAAAAAAAATTAAATTTGAATTATTTGTTAAACCTATTGTCACACTTGGAATACAGCGAGTCAGTCACTCGAATGATTCTCATGTCATGTAACTCAACAACCTATCGAGAGAGGCACTTAGATTCGTCGAGCAGAGTTCTAAGACTTTGTTTATAGTTCCAGACCTAAGTCATGTAGCAGGCCTTCTTTATTTATAGAGTCTTTAACTTCTCTTAATCAAACTTAAGCTGACTTATCTTCTTTCTTTGGGATAATCAGACACAAGATTAAGCAGCAAGTTATCCTTACTCAACAATAATATGACAATTACTCTGTTTCAAAGAGTAAATTGGGTAGTGCAATGTTATTACGAGGTCAGGATTATAATTTAGTGAAAGTCTTTTACAAGGCAACGATCAGATAAGTAGTTTTATGATTTATAGTTTTTGGGAATTTATGGATTAGAGAAAGAACACTTGATATTTCAGATCAGAGTTTGATAGGTTTATCAAAGACTTCGATATTAAAGACTAATTGCTCGATATTGAGCAGAGGGGCGAAATGCTCTTTATTTATATAAAATAAAACCTAGTACAGAGTTAAATGATTTAAATCATTTAAATCGTTATAATCATTAAAATGATTATAACGATTATAATCATTAAAATGATTATAACCATTATAATCATTAAAATGATTATAATGATTAAAATCATTAAAATGATTATAATGATTAAAATCGTTATAATCATTTAAATGTTTATAATGCTGGGATCCTTTTAAAAGTCAAGGATCAGCCTGCTCGAAAATTATGCTGCGGATTGTTCAAATGATCTCAGGTGGGGTCCAGCCTAGTCACATTTCCTGGGTTACACTATGTTGAGAAGGTGTGAACTGGTTCTGGGACGGAACTTGACCAGAAATCCTGGTTACACCTAGATTCGTGACTCAACAAACAAACAAATACTACAAACCCAACAATCAACCCTAAATTGGCAGGCTGAAAGATGGCGTGGAAGATTTGGTCTGGGTCTTAGGGATCTTGTGGATTAGTCCTGTAGTTTAGCCTGATACTCGAGGATAGGAGTTTCGTTATTCTTGGTTGTTATTCCTGATTGTGGTTCTTATACTTTAAGAATGATTACGCTGCACGTGATCGGGTCCTTCTTTTACGATTGGTTACTGATTTAACAATGAGAATTTTATTAAGCGAAGGGTTTATCAATGAAATGATATAGGGGGTAATTAACGTATTGTTGGCCTTAAACTGATCAATTCAAATCAACACGGGGTTTTAACAATGAATAAATATTTTAACAAATGGGGAAACAAGGTCACAATACTTCTACTCGAATTTCGAAGTATTATTATTTAAACAATTTTGAACTTAGAGTTTTATCTGAACTCTTGAAGTTATCCTTTATTGAGGGCCAAAAAGTATCGCTTTTATACTTTTAGCGATATTAGTAAATACATTCTGTATTTAATTGATTTCGTTGAAATATCAATTAAATCTAATTTTCGTCAAATAGTAATTTTAATTACTATTTGTCTAAAATTGATTTAATTCAATAAATTAGATAAATCGACATATCAATTATACTAAATAAGGGCAATGATCTACCTATAGACTACGTTAGGAAACTCTATATACAGGTTATGGTAGATCCTTGTTTAAAAAGGATAAACTAACGATACAAAAGAAGAAAAAGGTAATACATATATATATAGAAAATAATAATTAATAAAATAAATAATAAAAAAAAAAATAGGTCGGAGGTTGGAGAGCCGATTAGCCCTTTACAATGTACGAATTTGATCTAACTTTCGAAAAATTCTTCAAAAAAGGCAAATTACAACATTATTTGCTATTTTACTTTCAAATTTTTTATGATAATGCGATTGATCGATCATGCTGTTTTATACAAAACGTTTTATTTCTAGTGTAACCTATCTATCTAAATCGCGTTTAGAATTATTTATCATGTAACCTATCTAAACCATGTTTAGACATCACTAAAAAGTCTCTAATCAAATCTACTAGTTCAAAAATAAACAAAAAACCGTATCACAAATTATGTGTAATCTTTTTTTAGTGTTAATTATGAAGTATTCCGGGTGGTCAGTTTATGAGTTTATATGTAAATTTTAATTTTGTATAAATAAAGAATAATATTAAATAAAAGAAAGATAAACTTAA